GGGGACAGTTATATATGCTAAAAGCAACTGGAAGAACAACTCAACACATTCCTTTTTTTAAAGCGCCGTGTTTTGCTCCACACCCCCATGCCAGTTTGAGAGCCCGGCCACCCCAGGAAGTCAAAGTCTGCGAGCAGGGCAACGTCGAAGCCTGGGCAAGCACGCGCAGCGTAAAGCTGTCAGCTATGTTCCGCCACATCTCGCAAGAGGCCCTCAATTGCAGGAAGTGGTTGCCAGAGGCCAGGGTAATTCCAAAAGCTTGCCCCTTTCTGAAACTGTTTTTTTGGGACGGGTGGGCATGTGTTTGGGTGGGTGCGCAACGCAACACTCACGCAACGCAGGAAATGTGGACTGGTGACCCAAAGAGAAGGGCTTGCAAAAGGCCAGCCAGCGCCAGCAGCCAAGTGGCCAAAGACAACAAGCAGCAGAAAACAACTTCCTCGTCCACCTCATCGGCTGGCTCATCTTCGGACGCTGTTGAAACGGAAGAGGAAGAAGGGGGAGACGAGGAGGACGCGGCCGTCGAGGCCGGTGATGAGAAAGCAGATGCAAAATATGAGGCAAAGATCAAAATCGTCGGAAAACCTCCTCAAGAAAACGGCCGCCAAATCAAAGCCCAAACCCAAGCCAAAGCCCGAGCCCAAGCCCAAGCTGCAGCCCAAGCTGTCGCCAACGACCCCGCCAGCCAAGCCGTCAACGCCAGTGCCTTGCTGGCAGCACAAAAGCAGCCCGCCAACAAGTCGATCAGATTAGGGTCAACGCTGCTGGGGTAGGGGCCCCACGCAATTCAATTTTTAGGGGCTTTGTTTGCTTTTAGTTTTTAACGAGTAAGGGGCTGGTTTCAACCAGCGCGCGCCTAAGGACACGCCAGCCCAGCCGGCCTGCAGCCGGGCGGCGCCCAGATCCACCCCAGCATTCATGCCACCGCTGCCTGAGCGCCGCTCTGTTATGGAGTTGATGCTGAAGGAAGTCAGCCACGAAAGTTGCCAGGCATATGCAGCATATTTTCCTTTCTGGGAGGGGGTGGCTTGATCTTTCAGCAAGGGGTCCTGAAATAAAACCGGGTTACATTAGGGAGAGAGCCCTGAGGTTTGGCCAGAACGGCCATGCCGAAGCAAAAAGCAGCGGAGCCTTTGGCGCAGTTCGAGTATGGCTGGTCGCAGCAACACAAGCTGGCGTGGCGCAAGCCAATTTTGAACGGCAGCCTGAGGGGCCCGATCGAGTTTTCCTTGAAACCCACCCTTGCCCCGGATGCCAAGAATGTGGACCCTTTGCAATGCAAGTTCAAGGATGGTGACATCTACACGGTTCACCACATTACTCAGGTGCCTAGACTGCAGGCCGCGGGCGAGCGGCCAATATGTAGAAGTTGTTTTTGATGGCTCGAGGTTGAAAAGAAACATCGTTCTGGTTCTCAGATGTTAACACTGGAGCCCTTGCACTGTCACAAGTCTTGCTTTCAGGAAAAGTGTACGGGGCTAGGCGTTGTTGTCGGGGAAAAGGGGCGCCTATGCAAACCAAGGATGACTGGCGTGCCATGATCGCCGTTGAGCAGCCAAAGCCCAAGCCAAAGGCAAAGCCAACGCCGAAAACTTCTGCTGCGGCCCCTGCTGCGCCTCCCGCCGACAGCCTGGAGCGCGAGGCAGACACGCTCTTGGCAGAGGCAAGCTGGCAGAAGGCGGTGGAAGGAAAGCTTGAGCTTTGGCGGGTTTTAAAGAAACCCCAAAAAGGCCGAGCTGACATTGTGGTCAGCATGAAAAAGGAATCAGATGCCAGCAAGTGGCAACAGAAGGCCCAATTGGTGGTGGGGGAACAAGGAGCTGGTGAAGCCATGGCCGTCATGAAAATGGCTACTGCTGAGGTCGCCGTCGGCACTTTGCCAGAGTCCGGTTTAAAAGACAGGAAACAAGCCTTGTTGGACCTCAACCTCTCAGGCAAGCTTCTTGACTACTTGATGGAACATCCGAGCGGCGAATATGGTGTTGCCCCGGAGTCTGTACTGGTTGAGTATTTGCAAACAAAGGCGGCAAAAGCGACGCAGCCGCCTAGCGAAGTGGAGGATGACCCAACAGGGCCAACAGAGAAGCCAACAGAGAAGCCCGCAGCCATTCCAGAGAAGCTAACAGAAGCTCAAAATGACCCAACAAGTGCCCCCACCACAAACAATTTATTGGGGGACACAACGCCCCCAATGCTGGGGGAGTTCATCGACCAGACTGAGCAAGCCACTTTGCTGGAGAATTTGGAGACGTTGCCGATCCCAGGCCAGTTCCATCCTGCCACGCGCGTGGGCGAGGGAATGGCTTGTCTAGGGTAAGACAAGGGTTTTCCAATCTACTTTCAGAGGGCGTCCGACACAAGATATCTGCCTGCAGGTAGCATCTTCGCAGCGCCCTGGCCTCCAGCCTTGGACTAGCGCTTCTGCCCGGGCCTGAGGCAGCGGGCCGGCAGACTTGACCAACATTTGTTTTTTTTGGGGCCCCCATGACGTGACAGGTCGTGGAAACCCAAGCCCTGAGTGTTCAGAAAGAGCGCGTTGACTAACCTAACATCAATATGCCCCCCAAACCATTTCTAAACAAAACCCAGTTCTCCAAATTTTTACAGGGATCATTTCTGTGGATTGCCTTCCTGAAGTTTCTGGTGTCAGAGCAGGCCCCAACCCCCCCAAACCATTTCTAAAGGGTGGGCCGTTCTCCGAATTTTTACAGGGATCATTTCTGTGGAGTTCCTGAAGTTTCTGGTGTCAAAGCAAGCGCAAGGGGCGCCAGTTACGTGTAGGGCGTTAGAATTCGATGGGCCCAATTTGATGCGGAACCAAAGTGAAAAGATATCGGCGCCCTTCTGCGATGGAATATCGCAGGAGATCGCAGGAAAAAGGACGCCCCCTGGTTGGTCCAAGGGGCAGTTGTGAAAGACGTGTCAGATTTCGAAATCCAGGGTTCCCATAGGCCATGCGCTTATGACTCCCATATGCGCAGCTTGACGTGGCCGCTTTAAAAGCAGTGTAGGGTGTCTGGGGTTCAAAGTATCGATTTTCCCTTTGAAAGGCAGCCTTGACCAACACTGCTGAGGCTGAAGCGCTTAAGCCGAGTTGCCAGCTCGGCTCAAAATGCCCGAGCGTGATCCTAGGCGTGCAGTGCCAGGGCTTGTTGCCCCAAGCTCCCGATGGAGGAGCCGCTCTCCGCTTGCCAACCACCTACGCGGAATCATCACCAGCGCGCAGATCATCAGCGAGTGGGCGGGTGTCCTGACGCGCTGCGCCGAGGGCTTGGCAGAGCTTTTTGATCGGGTGGAAGCAGGCTGGGAGGAAGGGGGGGCGGCGCCGGATCTGACGTCGGAGGCTGTGCCGGGGATGGCGGCGGGGCTGGATTTGGCCGCGGCCAACTCTACTTCCTCTCCTACTACGGCGCTTGCAACCTTTGAGGAGTTCGCGGCAGAGCCGGAAGACGATTCAGAACCACGGACAGCGCAAGAAGCAGCAGACGCAGATGCAGCGTTGTCGCTCGCAGCGTGGTCAGCAACTGGCGCGGTGGAGAACGCAGAGAGGGCGGAGCAAGGCGCAGACTCGGACTCCACGATGTCGCCTTTGCGGCCGAACGCGAGGGTGCGGGCGCAAGCCCGGTTGTCGCAGCTGCAAGCGCAGAACCAGTTGTGCAACATGTTCTGCATCTGGAAATGTTCTTTTTGCGAAGCTTTGGGGGAATCTTCCCGGTGCCAGATCAAGCTCCAAACGGAGCATTGGTCCCATAGATGCAGGGCCCACATGTACACAGTCTAAGTGGCTGGCGGTGAAGTGGAAAAAGGCCCGTGTTTCGCCTATGCGCATCAGTGATGGATTGGGTTGCATTTCACTTGCAAACGCGTGTTGCGCCCGGCGCTCCCACGCAACGTTCTCAGGCCTGACCTTGGTGCAGCCTGCTCTACGGACTGGGGAGGCGTGCCCGCAAATGTCTCCATATCCACAACCAACAAACCCCTCGTTAAAGCTATTCTGATTTCAGTTAGGCTTGCTGGGGGTTACTTGCAAAACGCAAAACAAGGGTCCCTGCTGACAGGGTTAACAAGTGTCGCCAGCAAAACTTGTTTGTAACAAATCCAGGGTTGACGTTGTGTTAGTGTTGCGAGCGCAGACTTGGCCCAGGCGTCCCGGCAACAAGCGTGGCCGCGCCTAGCTGCGGGTCGGTTGCCAATTGGCGCTTCCCTGTGTCGGCTGGCCAGTGAAAAGTACTGAGCCGCTTGACCAATGTCACGTTGCGAATGAATGATACCCAAACGCTTTGTTTTGTGCAAACTTTGCCCAGCAATGTGTTTTTCCCTGTGTGCTGTGTGAAAGGGTGGGAGTGACAAGCCGCGCAAACCAAACCATAACAATAAGGTTGTTACCCAGGTTTCAAGTTTGTTTGTGTTTGAGTTAAAGACATGTTTGGTGGAGTAGGTTTGCTGATTCGCCTGGCAGCCCAAAGCAAAGGGAAATCACAGTTGGTCAAGGGAAATTACAGTTGGTCGCCCTGCAACGTTTGGTTTTTTGCTTCGGACGAGCTTGCAGTGATCAAGCTGGAAAAAGAGCCAGCGCGTGCTTCGATGAGCCAACGATGAGGGGTCCCCCAAATTAACGATGAGCCTCCGATGAGCCCCCCCAAGATTTGCCCAGCTTGCTTTACAAGTAGTCTAGTTCACAGCGATGAGACCTCGCTGAGCGCCCAGCAGCCAACCGGTGAGGGTGCAATGAGCCTCGAAAGCACGGGCGATGAGGGTGCGATGAGGGTAGGGTGTCAGGGCGCGATGAGGGTGCGATGAGGGCCCCCAAACCTTGGCTTAGTTGCTTTAATTTAGAAGGGAACCAATGCAATGAGGGTGCGATGAGGGTAGTTTTCTGGGGCGATGAGGGGCCGATGAGGTTTCACCACCCTGTCATCGTTGGGGTTTGTTGCTTTTTTGGAAGCATTTTGCTCAAAAACCAGTGAACACTATAAGCTGGCAGCGGCGACTGCGGCGAGAATGGCGGTGGAAGACGTCACGGAGGCCATGCTGGAGAACACGGATCTTGGAGTCGACGGATGGGCGTGCAAAGGCTTGGATGTCAACGCGCGAGGCCCGATTGGCGCAGCCGTGTACCGAGCTTTCATCAAGCACCCGGACATGCGGGAGTGCTACAAGTGGCTCTTTGACGACCTGAAGCGCAAATTCCGGACAAGCTGGGCGATGCAGCGGAACTTCGACTTTGTTTGCCACAAGCGCATCCATGAGAAGCGGGAGAGCACCAAGCACTCAGAGATCGGCAGCTTCAAAAGTGAACTCCAGCTGCAGGCGCACTTGGGCGGCGTGGCTGTGCCGGAAGCTGTGCGGCAAGCGGCGTGCTACATCAAGAACTGCGAGAAGTGGCCGGACAGGGGTTCCTAGAAGGGACATCTATGTTTAGATCGGCGCCCCTTTGAAAAGTTTCTAAGTGCAGGTTTGCGCTTTTGTTGTGTGGCGCAGGATGTCTTCGTGCGGTGGAACAGCTGGACGGAGGCGCACAACTACTTGCTGGTGGAGAGGCTGATCACCAGCACCTCGGAGGAGGCTTGGAAGGATGTTGTGGCGATGCATGACTCATCTGGAACTTTCGAGACCGAGAGCTACAAGTGCAAGGCCATCCGCAAGCACGCGGCCTTCCACCGCAAGGCGCCCGAAGCTTGCAATGTTGTCAAAAGCCCCCACGGGCTCAAAGGGTGGGCTGAAATGCAGATCGCAGTGCCCGGGGTACAAAAAGGTCTGGCAGTCCCAGCTGCCTCCACGCTCTTGGCGACCCAGCTGCTGTTGATGGCCAGGAGTGCGGAGAGAAGGCGAAGCGAGGAAGCCGGCGAGCTAACGCAAAGGGCAGCGCGAAGCCAAAGGCCAAGAAGGAGCTCAGCCAGGAGAAGGAGGCAGAGAACACCGCCAAGGATATCATCTGCAAGGTCCAGAAGTCGCAGCAGATCATGGAGAAGATCTTGCAGCTTGGCGATGATTTGCCTTCCGAGTGGAGGTGGGCCAAATCCTTCCTCGTGGACTACAAGGAGCTGACGCAGTCCTTCAAGGATGTCCTTACCCCTAAGGACGGCGACAGTTTGATCGACTTCGTGAACGAACTCAAGCTCACCCTGATCAGCCCGCAGGCGATGAAAGGCTTCAAGAAGCAGTACGGCGACCGCTACGCGCCGCTGTTGCTGTTGTTCAACGATCGCTCCCAAAATATTGCGAGCCAGATCCTTGTGCAAAATTAAGGTTTGTTCCACTATTGGGGTTTGAAGGGCTCGTCAACTTGTGAGTTTGTGGGGTATTGGGGTCCCCCCAAAAAAGGGCAAAATGTTTTGAAACAGAAACGCTTTACATGTGCTTCGCACCGGCGCCCTTACATGTTGGAAGCTGAGGATGGATTCGATTGCCACAATTGTTCACAACATGAGCAAGGCCATGAGTGGCCCCTCGGAGCCCACAGCAAAAAAGCGGGCCCGCAAGGCTTGAGGCTTCGGTTTTGAGTGCAGGTAGGGGACTTTCAACACTTGATGGCAAACAAGTGCAACATTCGCTGGCGGGGTCGTCGAAAAAGGCTGAGCTCAGTGCCTGCTTGCTGCGTGTGGCCGATGTGCGCCTGCCCCAGCACGTTGCAACACACACGCACACATGCGCTCACGCCTCTGGGAAAGAATTTTGGCTCTGCATCATGTTCAAACGGGCGCGGCTAATCAATGATGGTTCTGAACATGGCGCCTTTGAAGACCCTGCAGTTCTTGCTCTGAAAGCTGAGGCTGGCAAACAGCTTCGTACATTTCTGTTGGAGAAATATTGCCTTGACGGCCTACCTGCATCAACCGTTGCAACCATTGCTTATTGGTGCACCAAGGCTGGTGGCCTGGGTGTCCAAGATTTGGCAGTGCACCCCAGCCAGGCTGTAAAACACGGAAGTGAACACATTAAGAATGCCGCGGGCAAGATCTACCCCGAGCCCAATTTGACCAGAGTCTTCACGCCCATGTACGTCAAAAGAGAAACACGTCGCGTTGAGCAGGACATCCCTGTTTACTTGCCCTCCCAGGCCTTCAAAGACTACGTCGATGACCTCGCTGCCCAAACCTGGGCAAACATGCCGCGGCTTGTCGGCGACATTGGCATCTACAAGAACCACCCCGTTGTCGTCCAAGCAGAACTGGAAAGCAATCAGATCACGGTTCGCCCCATTGCGCTCTATTGGGATGGAGTTCAGTACACCAACCACGATTCCTTCATGGGTTTTTATGTCACCGACATCCTTTCTGGGCAGAAGTTTTTATCCTTTCTTGTCCGACCCTTGGATGCCTTTAAGTGACACGTTCCGCAAACCCAACGGCCACCTTCGAAATGTCGGATCTATCAGGGTTTTTCTGAAACATTAATAGGGGGGCGGGGGAGTTTCAGTTTCTGTAGGGCGCCCCAAGTGAGTGCAAGAAACGCGCCCTGAGGCAGTGATGAGATGTGCAGCTGTGGCTGTCGAGGCTGGTGCACGCTGCACCCTCTTCTTCTCGCCTGGGTGGAGGATCTCAAAAGATTGGAGGAGGGTTACCCTGTTCGCTATGCCGTGATCGACATCCAAGGGGACTGGCCTGCATTTTTGCAAGTGTTCGGCTTGCGCTATTGGGCGCACAAGACCCACCCCTGCCCTCTTTGCAGGGTCACACTGCCCGAAATGCTAGAGATTGACGTGGACAACATTACCGTCGATAACCTTCTGTCTCCGTTGTACCAAACAGAAGACTATGCCAAAGATGTTGCCAACAGCACAAAGGCCCCCTGGAAATCCTAAGCCGGTTTTTCAACTTAAACAATGTTTGAAACATTCGCTCGCAGGTGTTGGTCGTCCAGGATGCGGCAGTGCAGTCTTTGCTTTTTCGGAATTTGGAATATCGAGAACGCCTTCGGGGGAGAGTCCTTGTGAGAGCCTTTCCAGAACTGGGGTTGCCAAAGCACGCGCGGCTACTACCCTCGCAAGCTTTGCCCGACGTTGGCAAGTTTGAGTTTACCCCGACCCCTTTCCCAGCGACTTTTTGGACGGCGTCAGCAGACGCCAGGCTTACCCACGACTGCCCATTGCTGGCGCTTTCTGGTGTTGGGCTGGAGTCATTCAGTTTGGACATCATGCACACTTGGCATCTGGGCCCCTTACAGTTGCTGGTGTCGCTGTGCATCAACTTTTTTTTGGATACGGGGCTGTGGGCTCCTGCAAACAGTGGTGGACGCGTGGATGCAAGTGACAAGAAAAAAGTCGCTCTTCTGGCCATCAAAGCAGAACTTTTTCAATGGTACAAGGAACAACGAAAGGATGCAGATTGGAGGGCTCGGGGAACGGAAGCTTCTTGTCTGAAACTTGTTGGGCCCCAAACGCAAAGTTGTCCTGCCAACTTGCAACTAAACCGACTTAGGTTTGGAACCTCACGGTCGGCATGATCGGAACAACTGGGAGCCCGCACCTCAGCTGCAAAGCTGGCGAGTCACACGGCCTGGCGCAGTTTGTGGCCTACATGCTTGAAAACCACCGCTTGGATTTCCAATCTTTAGCACTTGGAGATGCCCAGAAAGCGCAGTGGCTCGGAGTTGCTGCGCAAGCAGCAGTAAATCTGAACACAGTTTTCCAAACAGGGGCTCGGTTTCTCACCCGTGCCCAAGTGCAAACAGCCTTGGGCTTCTATTGTCGGTTTCTCGTTTTTTTTCAGCGGGGGGGGGAGCCCTGACGCCAAAGTGCCATTTCATGTTGCACCTACTCACGCGAAGCGTAGAGAAGGGCAACCCGAAAAGCTACAGCACTTATAAAGATGAAAGCCTAAACGGCTTCATCGCGAGGATTGCCAGGTCTTGTCACAGGCGAACATGGCACAACTGCATCCAATGGAAAGTTCAGTTTCTGCACAAGAAGCAGCACGCCCAAGCTCAACATGTGAAAGTGCGACTCTTGCTTGCATCGTGTCATGCACCGTTTGCGCTTGCAATGAACCGATGTGGAACCCTTGCTGCAGCATTGGCCAACCTTAAGCCCACGCCTCGAAAGGCAAAGTGAACGTTCCGCCATGGCCGCCGAGCTCTTGCCGGCCTTGGATGGCATCTTCGCCCGGCAAGTTCATGCCGATGACAGTTTTTTTGACGCAAGCCTGCACCTGGAAACGGTTCACCGCAAAGTGCAACAGTTTGATGACAGCAACCAGGAACGAGACCTACAAGCTGTTGATATGTTTGCAGGGGACGGCAACTTCACAACGGAGTGTAGAAAGGTGGGTTTGACCTGTGATGCAGTTGACATACGCATCAGTGACTCGCACGACATCTTGACCCAGCAAGGCTTTTGGTTCGTTCTGGGACTCATCCTACGGGTGGTGGCTTGGACGACAATTCTTGTAAGCCAGTTTCGCAGCACAAACTATGGTGCTACAGCGCGAGTGTAGAAATCTAAGGAACGCTTTGGAATGATGCTGGCGGGCCCTCCATGTGGGCTGTTCATCTTTCTCTCCAGCAGCTATCACAGGAGGAACATGTGCTACCCGTACGGGGACCAGTTTAGGAGAAAAATCAGGGCATCCAACCAGTTGGTGGTCAACTTCTTGGTCTTGTTGGCAGTGGCGCATGCGAGGGGCCTTCATTGGCTGACCCTTGGCCAAATCAGTGCTTTGTTCAAACCACGCCACAAACAACGAAACCCAGCAAACGACCCTAAAAGCAGTTGTTGTTTTGTCATCGTGCTCCAGTGCTCAGCCCTACAAAGTGTAAGCCCCTCTAGGATATTTGGCGATCGCTCTGACCCAAGGTTGGAACAGCCGGCCACGAGTAGTCTTTGGTATTTCCCTGAAATGGCCCGTTTTCTGGAATCTGTTGACGGAGTTCGCCTACACACATGGATGAAATGTTTCGGCCATGACCTGCCCAAACCGTCAGTTCTCATGACCAGCATCGAGGAGGTGTTCTCTTCCCGTCTGAGGCGGAATTGGAGCAAAAAAGTTCAAGCGCGGTTGGAGCAACTCCTCAAAGAACACCTGACGCAGCGCTGGTCAACAAGAAGACTTTGGGCAAAAAAGTGGACCGTGTGCAAAACCGCGATGAAGTTCCACGTGGCTTACAAGGCCAGAAGCGATCAACAAAAGAAGTGCTACCACTACAAGAGCAGGTCCAAGAACAAGACCCGCGTTTGGGTCAACGGGGGCAAAGATCTTCGCGAAAGCGGTGTCTACACACCAGCTTTTTGCCGGGCGGTAATTTCAGCGTGGATGGGGGCCCAGTCAGCCAAGGTCAAGAAAGACACCCTGCCGCAACATGTTTCCTACCAGGTCTTGTGGGGCAAGGTGTTTCGAAGGGCTTCCTTGCAACAGGACCAGGGTGCCAACAAAACAATTTGACATTGGATTGGTTATGGTGTTTTTTTGCAACGGTATCATCCATATCACCCTGAAGGATAACCAGCTTGCGGCGACGCTCAGGCTGATGCAGAGCAATCTGGGGCGCGTGATTTCGGCACTTGACGAATGAGCGGAAAACGGCAGCAGCGGCCGGCGCAGTGCAAAGCTGAAAGTGTGCTTTGGGGCGCCCTGACGGAAACCAAATGTTGCTAACGCACATGTGTAACCCTCATGAGCCTTGACCCGCATGCGTTCCAAAAACCAGAGTTGGGGAAATGTTTGCAGCCTTCAAAGCGCAGTCGCGCGTCTAACGCCGACCCAAACGGACGCATGTTATTCCTTGCAGAGGCAATTGCAGAGTGTTTCTCACACGACACCAACGCAACACGATCTAAAAAACAGATGTCGGGCATCTAAAACTGAGATGTTCTGGCACGATCCTTTTTTTAGATGTGATTAGGGGTCTGGGTAGTACCGAGAGTAACATACGTACTCTTAATGGAATGAACAACAGGATCATGGCTCAGCTTACTGATATTGAAGGTCATGTTGATGAGGCTGCTGACATCATTCAGGGGGTTCAAGATAATCAGATGAATCCTCAACAACCCAGCCGGAACGTTGGATACAACGCCTTTGCGGGGCAGGGACATAGAATCAGGTCTCCGACGCCCACTCCCGGAGAAGGTAACGGTCGGGGTACTGGCCTTCCGGTGAGACCGGGCGGAGGTGTTGATTTGGCTGATCATGTTTTGCCAGATGTGCCCGGTAGGGTCGATCCTTCTCATGCAGGCAGGCATCCCATTCATCCCGATAGGGAGAGGGCTGACAGCAGAAGCAGAAGAGCTCGGGGACTGCCTGACAGGTCGCATTCACCGCCAGGGCGTGCGAGGGATGGCCCCCGCGCGCGCGCAAGGGGGACGTTTCTGTTTCCCCCAACAGGGATGTGGGTAGGAATAGGAGCCCGAGGCCGTCCCCGATAGGGGACCTGAGGTCCGGAGTCGGCAATCGAGGGGGGAAAGGCCAATCCGCGATAACGGGAGCATCTCTCCGAACCTGGATAGGCCGATCCGCGATAGCGGGAGCGTCTCTCCGAACCCAGACCGTCATCCAGGAGGTGGTAGGGGTAATGGCCCATGCCGACATCCAGAGTCCCGGCGATAGCTGGAGGACTCCTGGGAGCAGAGCTCGTGCCGATATCCAGAGTCCCGGCGATAGCTGGAGGACTCCTGGAACTCCATCTGATCGTGGACAGGCCTCGGCACCGGCTGCAAGACGAGCTCCCGGTACCGGTGGCCCAGGTGCGCCAAAGATCTGCGCCCTCGATGAACCCAACGACCGTAGGCACCCGGACGCTGAATTCTCATGTGTTACGTGCAAGCGTGAGTTTTGCAGGCTTTGCCGGGGCGACGATGGGGACTGTTGCAATTGTCACTTCTTGAAGATGAAATGCTGGGCGTGTCATAAAAGTGCCCAGGAGGTCCCCATGTATTCCTGCACGGAGTGTGCGAACCACATCTGCGAGGATCATAGTCATTTTGGCAATGATGGCCTCGAGCGATGTGCGCGCTGTAATATTCGGCATGAACGCGCTGCAGCTGGACCGCCCCCTCCTCCTCCCCCTGGGGGAGGAGGTGGGCAAGGCGGACCATCCGGCCAAGGTGGGAGTGGAAGTGGTGGTCATGGACATGCTCCATTTCCACCACCAGGTCACGGACATCCCGGCGGAGGCCAAGACCTCCTGGAGGTACCGGGGGTTACCCTGGTGGAGCACCTGGGTTCTATGGTAGTGCTGCTGATACTCATGGAGCTGGGAACAATCAGTGTGGTTCCAGTTTCTATGGTCCTGCCTACGGAGGTGGCGTTGGCCACCAAGGGGTTGGCGCTGGCGTTAGTCAGCCCAACGATCCTGCAGGTTGCCCTTCGAGTGTTGCGAGCGGTGGTAACCTTGGGCCAGGTCTTAGCCTTGGCTACAGCGTAAATGGGGCCGGTAGGCAGGGAGATGGTGGTCTTCTCCCTGAAGCCTTGAGGGGAGATGATGGACGGGACAGGTGCACTAAGTGTAGCAGGATCCCTGAGCCTGGTTTCCCTCTTGTTCCTTGCGTTGGTTGTGGAGTGAGGGCGTGTGAAGTTTGCTGCCCTATGCCTGCTAGACTGTGTGAAAGTTGCAGGATTACCTCATGTACCCCGATAGGGGCTCTGATTTCCACCGTTGTCGATAAGGATCGGTTCCATCATAAGTGCAACACGATCGTGCTACCTGCTGAGCCGACAGCTGATAAGCTGCGGGAATGGCTTTCCGAGATAAAGGAAAGGGTCAGGAATGCTTTCAGCTTTGACTCTGACTACGCGTTAGCGTGGATTTCAGAGACTGAGAGGCTTGACTATGATGCTCTTGGTGGACCCTGCAAGTACCCGATTTTGGATTCCAACTTCACGAGTGCTATCAGGGAGTGTATCAAGACAAGGGCTGTTAGGGACAAGATGAATCGCCTGACCGAAGCCGCTCAGAATATGAATCCTCCCCAGGGTATCAAGGGGAGACAGATCTTGAAGCTTCTGCTGAACCACCTGCAGACTGGGGTCGAGGATGACCAGACCTTCAAGATTGCCGAGTTGACCAGTCTCAAGTGTCGGCAAACAGGTCACTCCGACGATGAAGCTAGGCTCCGGAGTTATCTGAGCACCTGGGACAATCTCATTTCAGGGATCAGGAAGAAGATCGATGATGGGGTACTATTAGCTGTGTTCATTGAGAACGTTCGTCATCTACGCTGTATGCGGCCTGACATCGAGAGGTGGGATCGCGATGTGACCGTTAGGTCTTTCGCGTGGCTTTATAAGGCTTGTCAGGACTGCGTTGAGCGATGGCAGAAGCGACAGAACACGCTTCAGATGTACCAGACTTTTCATGAGCAGAGGTCACGATCAGGCTCTCACTCCCGTGAGAGGGATCGGCATCCTGGCGCTCCTGGTGTTGTGCGGAGGTACGATCCACTTGCCAGGAAGAGTGATCCGAGCCCTTCAAGGTCCGTTAGGTCCGGAAGGGATGGGAAGCCCGACGGG